CTCCCTGGTGCCGCATGAGTTCGATTAATGCACAGCACTGAGAATCTAAAGCCGCTGCCGCATGAGTTCGATTCCCGCCTGTCCCGGAGGTGACCACATGGCGTGGCAGACCTCTCCTGACCCGCCCACTGCTCCTCTCAGCAGTGTACTTCATCAATCTGCCTGTTCTGTTCCCCACTCTGTCTCTGGTGAAGCCTCTCGCCTGCCCCTGAGCCTCTGGCCTGTACCCCAGTTCTGTATGCATGAATAAATAAATCTTTAAAAAAAAAAAAAATCAGCAGGTCCTCTCACCCACATGGCTTTTGTACATGTTGTCTCTTTCACTTCAGGCATTTTCATTCATCTCCTCCATTCAAGAAATATTTACTGACAGCTAAACAGATAATAGGTGCTGGGGTATGTTAATAAAGGAGAAAAGTCCTTTCACACAAATGGAGCTTGCATTCTTGCCCACTCCTCTCCTTTTTCCAGAGTTGACTCTTTATCCTCCTGATTTCAGCTCAATCATTTCTTCTTCAGTGAGGTTTTCCCAAACCTCCCAACCAGACCAAACCCCCTCCTCCTTTCCTCCCTCCCTTCCTTTCATTCAAGTGTCTGTTGCGTACTTTGTGTGTATCATATATTGTCTTGATACTGGACATAAAGCAATGACAATTAAAAAAGAGAGAGAGAGAGAAAGCTCTTGTTCACATGAAACTTATAATCTAGAGTGAGAAGAAAATGATTTTAAAAGCATATGCAAGTAAATGTCAAGTGCTACGAAAAAAATCAGGTAGAGTAGGTAGAGTAAGAGGATGGTATTCTAGACACATCGGTCTGGGAAGATGTCTTTGAGGAGCTGATAACTGAGCAGAGATTTATTTGAATTGAGGGAGTGTGGTTATCTGGGCAAGCATCCAGGCAAGAACATGCCCATGAGGCTGCCTGCACTGTATGGTGCCCTTTTGGGTAGTTATCACAGCTGTACTATCTTATACTGATTTGTATTGGCCTTTCCTTCTAAACTGTTTACTCAAGGGAGGCAGGGAAAATGATTTTCTGTTGATGACACACCCCAGCTCTTATCTCTCAATATCAAGAATTTGTAGAATGAATGAAGGAAATCAAAGGAGGAAAAAAAGAGGCTGGAGGAGAAGGATTAAAGAGAAAGCGAAAAGAGAAGATACAAAGTGCCTAGTGCCCAAGGTTAACAGAGAAGCAATAGCACATAATGAGAATCAGGAGGCTCTGGGTCCTACTAATCCTATTAATCACTAACTAGCTGTTGAAATAGTTGATCTGAGCATCAGTTTTTTCTTCTACAAGTTAAAGTAGATCTAAAATGCAAGTAAGTCTCTGAACATCTCCTTTTTGAAATGCAGTTGTCAAGCGTGAATTTATCATTACAAATGCTATGTGGTGGTATTCATTTATTAAGTTGTATAGCCAATACATAGCTTAGAATCCTGAAGGAAGCAACAGCCAAAACTAAAAAAACAAAAGTGAATGCCAAAAAGGTCATACACTGAAGGCTAACATTCTTTACAACAAACCCTTAGATTCTATGACAATTAGTTCTATCTTTATCATCAAAGTATTTTCAAAGTCTAAGTTCAGCTTATTCAAACAGCTGAAGAAAGACTTCCCTTAAAAAAAAAAAGCAACTAAAATAAGATTAGATTCAGGTATAAAAAATAATGTATTTTGACATTCACCTGCCAGTAACATAGGATAAAATAGTCAAAAGCACCCTTCTCAAAAGTTGTCTCAAAATGTGCAGTTTCTCTAGCCCTGTGAAACAAGCAATTGTTGACTAATACATAAATTTCATCATTTGTGTATAAACTGTTGTCCTAGGTGACACATCATCAAGGCAATAATTTATACTGTAATTGAGTGATGCAACAATTGGAAAGCAAAACTTATATGCCTCTGGTTTCTACTCCCAGTCTCTGGGGTAGGGGTGGAAGAGGCCCATTATCTGAACATTCTAGTGACAAGTGCAGATTCTGTGATTACAAAGAACAGTGGGAGACGGGACCAGTTCCCTTGTCTGGGAGTAATCTGAGAATTAGTGGGAAAACTGAATATATGCCAAAGTAATATAGGCAAATGGCTAAACATCAACACTCTGATATCAACATTCTTCCTTAATATTAAGGTGACAGGACAAAGGGAAAAAACCCTGATAAGCAATTCCAACAATCAATCTTACTGAAACCAAAACTGTAAGTGCAATACCATCAGGCACATTTCACCTGATCACCACTTATACAGCTTTGGAGAAGGAAATTATAAAATGCTTTTGAGACGCCTGCATTTGATACTGAAGAAATGAGGAAACTGGCAACATCCTAAAAACCGCAGCACTGTCACAACTGATTTAAAGTGATCTATTATATTCAAAGGAAAGTCTGGAAAGTCTTAGTTGCTAAGATGACAAGGATTTACATGGGAAATGTCAGATTTCAAAATAAACAAGAGACAGTAAAAACCGTGACTCGGGGAAAGCAGCTTAGTAACTTATGTTTAAAGGAAATAAAACACACAGTAAAACACTAATTTCAAAGTTCTTCATTTCCTGTTGTCCACCACACCTACAAAGAAGCAGGTCAGGAAATCAAAGCAGTTCATTTCTAAAAAGTTGAAAAATGCTGTTCATGATATTCTAACCACTGACAAAATTAACAGAACAGTTGAAAACAAATGCAATACTTCTTTTAATAAAAAATGCGAATAAGAGTATTTTTCCCCAAATTCTAACACTATTTTATTTAAAAGGGTAAAAACTAAACACAAACTTTGAAATGTGAAAATGTTGGAACATGAGATTGAGAAGCGGGAAGAGAGCAGGAGCACTTTGGGGTCGCTTACTCGGTCTACCCTGTTTAGAGCACGAAGCAACGTGCAGGGGTACTAAAGTGGATGCAATCGCCCAGAGTTCGGCAAGTACGGTCCTCAAGCTCTCCCGGGGCGTTCTTGAGGGACTTAGCTCAGCTCAGCACTCGAAAAACGTACTTGTGCCTTTAAGTGGGAAATGACACTGATTTTCCATAACTGGCATCCCTAGCGGCCTCAACCCCTTCAAGCCCCTCGGGCCGCGTCTCTTGTGCATGCAAACTCCTGCAAAACGTGTCCAATAGCCCAAGTCTGAGTGGGACTCCTAACAGACAACCAGCCACTTCTTTCTTTCTACGGGGGGCGAAGGGTGGGAGACAGGCTGCCGCGCTCAGGAGAAAGTGGGACTGACGGGCGACGCCGTCCCCGCCGTCCTTTCCAGGCGGGCGACGCGCCCACCTCGGCCCGGGGGGCTGCGAGGACTGAGGCAGGGGTCGGGGGTCGACCGCCGGCGTAGGGACCCCGTGGCGCGCGCCGGGCCCGGGAGGTGGCGTGCGGGGGCCGCGTGGGACCCCCTCCCTCTCTCTCCGGGCGGCCACCCAGCTCTCCGGCGCCCTGCGCCCCAGGCCCACCTTTGATGCCAGCCATGGCGGTGACGTCGCTCGTGGCTCTGGGACCAGAGGAGGCGGCCGGGAGACCCGAGACGCTCGGCGGCGGCGGCGGCGGCCAGACAACACCCGGAAGTGCACGACGCAGCACTTCCGCCGACGGCTCGCGCTCGCGCGGGGACGCGGTGGGCGCGCCGGTCTCGGGGCCGTGGGCCCGACCCCTTTTTCGCTTGCCTGATTCCTACACGGGTTTCCGCCTTGGGAGGCTTTCCGACCACGCCGGGGTTCCGGGGTCTTGCAGGCGCGGGACTCGGTGTACCGCTCGGGGTCGGCGGAAGCTCCCGCCGGTATCCCGCAACCGCTTGCATCCTGTAAAAAGCAGCGGGCGCTAGGAGCCGCGGTGCCTTGGGGGACCGGTTGTGATGTGTTTGAAAGCTGTTTCGCATTCTTTAAACGCAAAATTCTCTCCTCTTTAGTCTTGCAATAAAAGAGAAGTAAGGCCGAAGGGGTGACCCGCACTTGGCTCCTCGGTTTCCTGCCCAAACTAGGGTTCTGGTTAGAGCCCTCCGCCAGAGAAAGGAGCTGTAGGACCACGTTTGTTATTGAGCTTTACTAGGTGTCGGGAACCGGCACCGAGGTAAGCAAGATTAGGCACCGATTCGACCCTCAGGGAGCCTGCAGTTTTATGATGGAAACATGAAAAAAGTGTGAAATGACAACAGTGATAACAGCCAGGCAATGGGTAGGTAGATAGTCCCAAGAAAGTCTTTGATTTAGATCAGTCATGGAATATTCCCCGAGGGAGGGAAGAGTATCTTGTAATTTGAGAAAAGGGAAAAGCCACTACAGGGAAGGGGCCACTCACAGTGAGTTTGTTGGCAAACTCTGCGAGTCAGAGCTTTTCTGCTGGAAAAAGTTTGGGGTCCTGTAAGAAAGCCAGTGGTATTTGTTGCTCAAAGTGGGGTGGGGCAGATGTTACAGCAGGATCCTAAATAAGACTTTTTTTTTAAATCTCATGAGCAATGACACTCTTAATGAGTGTGAAAAAGATACAGGTGAAGGTACTAAGATGCTGGTATTGTGCACTCTACTTCCCTACACTTCCAGGGTGCAATTACATCTTAAACAGCAAATCACTTCTTGAGGCTTAATGCCCCCAAACTAGTCTAGAAGTGTCTTCTAAAGAAGTAGAATTTTTTTTTTTCGCACTCAAGTTATTGCAAAAAGCTATGCCATCTCCTGTAACGTGAAGATAACATTTCCATTTAAGGATGTAGCAGCAAAAACAAGGCACACTTGAACATATGCTCTAGAAATGTGCGTCCCATTCTACAGCCTGTGAATCACCAGCTCTTTCCTGAAATACTGAAGCAGTCATATACATTCTCCTCCCCATCCATCTTGAAAGTAGGTAGAATTTGAAGTTAATTATTCTACCCCAAATTGTCAAAACGACCCCTATTCTTATTTTGTTCCATAGTTTTTCATCTTTGAGGCAGAGAAGATTGAGAGAATATAGTAGAGATAACTGATCAATGGGTGGTGTTGGGGGTGATAGGTTTTCTGATAGACTCATAGCTTGGCTCCTGGGGTCAAGATCACCTTTTTTTTTTTTTTTTAAGATTTATTTATTTATGCATATAGAACTGGGGTAAAGGCCAGAGGTGTGTGGGGGGTGGGGTGAGAGGCTTCACCAGAGACAGAGTGGGGAGCAGAACAGGCAGATCCAATTACACTGCTGAGGGGAGCAACGGGCATGTGGATCACCTGGGGTGGGGGGATCGAACTCATGTTGAAGTGACTTTAGCTTCTTTGTGCTGTGCTTTAACCTGCTGAGCCACCAGGAAGGGCCCAAGATCACGTGTTTTGGGAAGTATTTTGGGGCTTCCATAAGCGCCAGTGACTGAGTTAAGTGCTAGTCCCCTAATTTCCTTGTTTTGAATACTAGTGGGTTGAGCTTTACAAACATTCATTTATTTTCTTATATTAAGGAGCAATAGAGATTATTCATCAATTTTTTTTTCACGTGCTTTTCCTTGAGATTCACAGTGGTACAATGCAAGGAAATACCATCCAAAGATAATTTTTTTTTTATTCTACAGATTTTTTTTTCAGATTTTAGAGAATAGTGTTTCCAAATGTTGCATTTCAAAGATCCTCTATAAATGAATTCTTTGGAATGTTTCCTAAAAATGCAAAATCTCTAGTCTCACTTTAGAACTTTTGAATCTAAATTTACATAGGCAGAATCTAGGAATCTGAAATTTTAATAACATCCTAAATCTTTCCTATGCAAACTAAAGCTTGAAAATTGTCAGCAAATGTTGACTGTCAGGCATTTACCTCATCAGTTTTACAAACTAATCCCCAAATTAGCTAATGTTGTATCCTTTAAATGTTCGAATGTTCTGTAAACTTGGAATTATTATTATTTTAAACCTGCAATTAATAACCCTTACAAGCCAAGTCAGTGAAATCTCAGAGTTTTTATTTTTAAAAAAAATTTATATGGAAACATTTAAGTATATGAAACATAGGATGATAAAATGAACTTTCCAGTGACATATTCTTTTCTCTGTACTCCCCATTTCCATCCTATAAACTCCCCTATTATTTTGAAGAAAATTCCAGACATAATTTTATCTTTAATATTTTGCTATATATTTTTAAAAGTTACTTATTCTTTTCTAAAAAGATTTATTTATTCATGCAAAAACTGGGATACAGGCCAGAGGTGCAGGGGGTGAGAGGATTCACTCTGAGAGACAGAGTGGGGAGCAGAACAGGCAGATATATTGAAATATACTGCTGAGGGGAACAGCAGACCTGTCAGGAGAGGTCTGCTGATCCATGTGGGTCACCACTCTGGCTAGGGATGGAACTTTGGCTGCAGTGACTACGGATAGCTTCATAGTGCTGCACTTTAACTCGTGTCACTGGGGAGAGCCCTATTTTGATATGTTTTTAAAAAGATTCTATAGCGTAACACTGTACATCTATCATATTAATTAATTTCATCACATAGGGTCTAGTAGTGTTCAAATGTCCAATTGTCTCATAAATGTCATTTATTTTGGGGTTTGCTTAAAACAGAATCAAATCAGATTTACACATTACTGTTGATAAGTCTCAGAAATATTTTAAGAAACTGCCTTTTAGTATTCATATCTCAGCTCAAATGGTAACTTCTCAGAACCATCCCTGGACATTCTATTTATTGTAATACTTTATATCATATTATCCTGTTTTCTTCTTGAAGGCACTTATTCATCTGAACTATATTATTTGTTGGTTTTCTCTCCTACTAGAATATGAATTAGTACAAACCTTTTATGTTTTGCTTATAACTGTCTATAACTGTACATAGCAAGTGATGGCATTTCAAATAAATTCTCTTGTTAAGGTAATTAGTGAGCTCTATATTACATTCAAAGATCACTTCTTGTTTCAAATTGTCAACAACAATGAATGCTTGCTGATCGTTGTCCTTTATCTCAATTACCATATTACTTTCCTGATTTTTCTCCTACATCCTACATTACTTTCAGACTCTTTCTAAGTGCTTCTTTTGCTGAGCTTCAAATGATAGTGTTCTCTTAGGTGGGTCCTGCACCTCCTTCTTTGCCATAATTAAATTCTCTTCCTACTCATTGTATCTCTTCTTGTGATATTAAACACCATCTTTAATTTGATAACTGCCAAATTTCCCTGAGTTTTGAAATTCAGATCTAAAAATCCAAGTGTATTTATTATGTTTATCTGAATACCTAATAGTCATCTCACATTTAACATGTTGATGGCAGAATTTGCTATTATCTTTAATCCTATCCTGAGGAGTCTCGTTCCAAGTCATCACTGCTCTGACCAACCCTGTGGAGCTAGGGTCTGGTCTACCACCTGCATAGCCTCTAAGTGGAGGGAGCCCCCCTTACCTTTCTCACCACTTAAGTCTCAAGCTTCAAAATCACTTGTCAGCAAGTTCCTTCAACTGCCCTCTCCCCAAACCCGAGTCTCCATTGTATTGCTACTTACTGCTTTATGCACTTATCACTATTATCTTTGCTCACTATCTTGTTACTTGTCCATCCTTACTTCAATGCAAGTTCCACGAATAGAGGAACCTTGTTTGTATTTTCCATACTTAAAACAGTGCTTGACACATATTCGGCATTCGACCTGTATTTGTTGAATGAATGAACGAAACACCCAGGCTTGTCAGACAGCGATTAACACCTGTGCACTTAGCACTGTTTTCTCTGGCCGGTTCTTCATTTAAACAGTAGTTTCTCCTCATGAAATTCCGAAGTACACGGGGATAGGTCAAGGTTTAAACTGTTGAAACAGCAGCTATTTTCCAAGCTAAATTTCGCGTCACTGCTCCGCCTCTAGTCAACAGGACAACATCATCAGTCACGTGCCAGGAGCTATGCTAGATGCTGAAAGCATCAAGTTGAATAAGGCACAGTAACTTCCCTGGGGAAGGCTGCTGACATTTTGGAAACACGCTTGATTGCACTTAGGTTTCGCGTTGCGATAGTTTGAGCGTCTTAGCCGCAGCATCTTCGCTCAGTCTCTGCGTCCCGCCCTTGGCCCCGCCTCCAGCAGCAGCGCTCCGCCCTCGACCCCGCCTGGAGCCTCGCTGAACCCCGGGGGCGGGGCCAGCAGCGTCCACTCAGGTTCCCCCACGCGCTGCAGCGGCGTGACGTGACACTAGCGCACAGATCTTCCGTGCGACTGCCGCTCCGCAGGCGCGTCTACCTTTCCCGCTGCGGGGCCTCGGGCGTGACTGCGCAGCGGCGCGCGGACTTCCGCAGGCCGGGTTCCGGCCCGCTAGCGCCTGTAAGCTGTGCGCCATCTTCGCAAGCACCATGGTCGCGGCCTGTGGGCTCGGAGCGGCCGGACGCCGCCTTTTCTTCTGCCTTATTGTACTTCTGCAGATCGCGTGCACGGCCCTGGGCTGGAACGACCCCGGTGAGTGCTCTTCTCACTCGCCCTTTCCCGCGATCTTCAGCCTGTGCCCAGAGGCCCCACGGGCTACCGTTTCCGTCGGTCTCCCCTGAGCTTTTTGGCCCTGACACCTCCTTTCCATCCAGTTTCAGTGCCTTGCCTACCTCTTTTTGCTCAGTTGCAAATATCCTAGGGACTAGCGGGGATGGTTGGAGAGTGGGCGGGTGGCGCGACTCCATCGTTTCCTTTCACCCGTTCCTGGACTAAGAAAATTTGCCTACAATCTCCTTTCTCGGGCTACAGTTCTCAACCGTGTGTCTGGCTGGACAGCTAGACACTAACCTGCGCATTTTACTTTGTTGTCAAGACTGATGTCATCGTTGCTGCCTGTTGCTAGGCTGGCAGTTGCCATGGCACCGCCTGTCTGTGAGTCACAGTGGACAGGACTGCAAACCTTGCAGGTAGATTAGCAGAATTATAGCCCGTATTATTTATGTTAGCCGAAGTCATTGCTTCTTACTCCCCCCGTTAATTTGCTTCTTAGTCTCTTCACAGTATGTTGTTGCCTTATGTCAGCTTCCCCCATTGTTTTCACTGTACCCTAGGAAAAAAAAATACGTATTTGTGTGATGGTACATGTTAAGTGATTTCTAGGGAAAATAATTTTTATGCCACTATATTATTAGAATTGTCTGATGAATTTTATGGGGTCTTTAATATTCCAGGTAGTTAATATATAGTTTTGCATTTATTAAGTGATTCATGTTCTTAAGTTGGAATTATCTTTAAAAAAATGACTTTAGGAATTAAAATGTAGGTTTTGGTTTGGGGAGTAAAGATACTACTAAGTCATGAAAAGTAACCAATACTGCATTTGTGATTTGCTGATAGGAAAGGCCAACCTTATTGTGATTTTCTATTTTAAGTGCTGAAAAGAGGAAGAAGCTACTATTTGAAAGTACTTGACTTTGAGTAGCCTATTAAATATGGATATTTAATTACCAATACATAAAAAAGCCAAGTTAGATTTACTTATTTATTTTATTTTAAAAAATATTTATTTATTCATACAGAACTGGGGTATAGGCCAGAGAAGCGGAGGGTGAGAGGATTCACCAGAGACAGAGTGGGGAGCAGAACAGGCAGAT